TATATATATATATATATCAATCTCCGTAGCTATTTCTGTGAACACGTGTGTCCCTCAATACTAATCGCCTGGGGGGCCATCGAATAATAGCCTATTGATTAATAGTGTTAAACCACATGATATGCTCTCGGTTTCATTAAAACATCTTAAATACCATCTTCATATATCTATTTCTGTGAGCCATCGTTTACCCCAACGCTAGCTGCCCATCAATCGGCGGCCAATCGACTAACCCATTAAACCACGTTCTATCTTCTCGATCTAATGCCATCTGTTTTCTATAAATTATATTATATAATTTATATAATTCCATCGATTAATAACAGCATGATACCATGTAACATCCTTTCTGCCTGCATCCCCGCCTAACCCACCAACGCAGCGGCCATTTCCGCAAACATCCATCGCCGTTTCTGCCCCAAGACCAATGACGCGACTGCGAGTTGCACCGTCGCGTGCGTGGGTGCGCCGCTAACAAGCGAGCGACTCACTCGGCCTGCGACTGCCACAGGAACGGCTTCCGCATCGCCACCTCCTGCAGCTTCTGCAGCGTGTCCGTGATCGTCGCACTAAACAACAGCGTCTGTCGTTTCCGTGGCAACGCCGTGAATATCGTCGTCAGCTGCTCGTTGAAGTTGTCACTGTCCAGCAGCCTGTCGGCTTCGTCCATGACCTGTGTGAAGATCGCACTTAATTACACTAATTATTATAATTAAGTTGTATGAATATTAATTTTATCACTATTATTAACTTAATTATTTTTATTTTAACTATAAACTATCATATAATTATCTTTTACTTAATTATTTTGGATTTCAGTTAATTACTTAAACCTTATTTAATTATGTAAAGGTTCTTGTCAAAACAATTGCAATACAACCTGTGTTAGATGACACCTTTATAGAAGGGACAACCTAGCAAAGGGACAAATCCTATTTATTTAGATTTATGAATGTGGCAAAACAACTGCAATCTAACCTGTATAAACAGACATCTCTATAAAACAGACAACGTGTCTATAAAGGCCACAGCATATCCCTTAAGTGGCAGTTATACAGTGAAGCAACCTCACCAGAATAGACACCTCCTTTATAAAGAACACTTTTGAGGATTTCCCAATGACTGACCAGCATATACAGCTTAAACTGTCAATAAATACGTGTATCAACAATAAAACGTAGACGACCTGGGGAAATACTGGGTGAAGCCAATTGGGCCAAGTAGGGTCGATGTTGGTCAAGTCAATCCCTAACTCACTACACAATGATGTAAATTAAGAAATTACTCTTAGCCGCATTTGAAGGTTCAAAATGAAAAGATATTCTGCTAGACCTTGTCTAACTAAGTATAGTGATATTAATGGTAACGGTTTGCTCTTATCAACGCATGATACATTGCATTATTGCATACTACGATGATAATAAACTATGCTATATATTAATACATCCATAGATGACCTAGTGATAGTAGGGATATAATAATTCAGCAGTTCACATAACCAGCTCTACAATGACCTATAGGTAGCAATAACACTTCGCTTCCACTTACAAGGAACTTGACTTTCTTGAAGTTTCCTCCGTTTCCACTCCGCACATGGTCTGCTAGTCTTCCCGGTGTTGCTATGACAACGTGTGGTTTTTTGGACAATTCAGATCCTTGTTTTACCATATCTGATAAAAAAATGTATTTGCTATTGCAGCATAACAAAGTTTATAACTGTAACGTTACAATTGATATCATAACATGTTTAGAGTATTAACTCGACAAAGCTTACCTGTATGCAAAGAGGAAGAGTTTAATTCTCACACGTTAGAAACGGATTGGGATAAACAGATTTATGTTAGAATGGTTCGTGCTTACCCATGCCACCGATTATGAGTGCATCTTTAAGACCAATCGGTTTTCCAAGCACTTTGAACTGATCAGCAATTTGAACTGCCAACTCCCTGAAATATGTTTAAAAATATTATATAAATATTTAAAAACATAAATCCAATTTTGGGTGTTTCCATGTCTTGTACCATAGTTCACAAAGGTACTTTTTTGAATGATCAGTGAATGTTTAATAACGATGTGGATTCATAGGTTATGTATACCCTAAAAAGACACACATTTTTTGCAAATATTCTCATGACACATGGGTCATGTGGCCTCATACTTGATTTATCATTCACTGTTGAGCTGAGCTCCATGTTAAAGCTCCATGAGACTAAAACAGCAATTAATCTAAGCCTTGATTAACACCTGACTACACTACCAAAATTATCTGTCGTAGATAAGATATGCATGTACACCTTGGTTCATACATTTATGTTTAAGAGCCCACGTCCTGTTTCCCAAATAATCATTGTCATTTAACCGTGCACTCTTGCTGTTGCTCCTTTACCTCGTTGGTGTCATGATGAGGGCAAAAATACCATATGGATCTTCGCTCAATTTCTGCAGAATGGGAAGTGCAAACGCTGCAGTCTTGCCACTTCCTGTCTTTGCACAGCCAATGCAGTCATTTCCTATATCATAGAAATCATAGTTACTAAAAACGTGCCAAACAAAATATTAGTAGAAGAGATATATGGAATATGAGGGGGAAGGAACAGGTGGGTAGAAAGGAAAGGAAGCGATATCGAAAGTTCGGCAAGTAAAGGGGAAATAGTGGCGAGGAAGCAAAGAGATCAGGGAGAAATAGAGGCAGAGATAGGAAGGTAAATGATACATAGTAGAAGTACAGCAGCGACAGAATTAAGTCAGAGAAGGTAAATAAGGAGAAGGTTGACTAAACAGACAGAAATTGTAGGGATGATGAAGGAGATAATGTAGATCACTGGATGTAAACACTATTTTAAACAGTAAAGTACAGGAAGTAAATGAGGGTAAAAACTTAAATTAGTAAAAGAAGGTAGACAAAAGGAAGCAGGTGGAGTAGGTAGAGGAGGGAAAAGCTTAGGCCCTACCGAGTATGAAAAAGCCTCAGAACATTCCTTCTGAAGGGGAAAAGCCTCGAGAGGTGCCAGCTAGCGGCCAGCTCAGGTGGGGGAAGGTAGAGAGATCTACCAAGTGTTCAACCAGATTGCTGGAGGTTCAGTGAGATTTTGCTGGAGAATGGGTCATTTTGGGAGTATATTGCTGGAGGTTCCGAATATTTTCAAACACGACCAGTTTCTGAATATTTGGCTTTAAAATATGTATTTGCAGTACATATATTCTGTTAGCATTCGAAGAAAACAAGACAAAATTAAATTTTAAGGCATAAAAACTTTAATTCTGAAGGGTAAAACTTAACTGTTGATTATTTTTTTCTTTCAATGGCTGGAGGTACGGCAGCCGTCGTTCGTTGAAGCCCCTTTTTGACGTTAGGGTTAGGGTTAGGGTTAGGGTTAGGGTTTTAGCTCATCTAAACTCTCAAATCGTGAATTTATTTCCCAAGGCGTTTTTTCGAAATCTGGCGCCACCTGCCTCCAGATTTGTCTCGTTAATAGCGCATTCGATTTGCTTCCCCAAGTTAACCTGGGTCTACTCGGGCTAGCCCCAAATACGTTTGATTTGGCAGTCACGTGATATTTTTGCGTTACCCGGGTGAGGCAGAAGTAACCACCTAGCCGAGCCGCTCACTTGGGGAATAATCCCACAATCCATTGCAACGACACCATGCATGGCGACGATATATCAGTGCGGGAATTGCATGAATGTAGCAGTAGTATTGAAGCATGACTGTCAATGACTGCGTGTGTTTGCCCATTCGGTTCAAGGATAGAGATGATGTCCAGGACGGTGATTGGATAGGATGATGTTTATTACTGGACATGCTCTCTATCCTTGAGCACATTCTTAGATTGCAATTGCTATTCTTTTTTTCTTGTCACTGGCATCCATGATGATAATTAACCCGGGTTAACCCAAAAACCGTTCGTTTATCTTCCCTAACCTAGATGCGTTCGATTTCGTACCCAGGTTAACCCAGGTGGCTCTGGGGAAGCAAATCGAACGCACTATATGTATGAAAGCAAATGGACTGCCGTACCTCCAGCCTCGAGACATTAAAAAGGAATAATAGGCCCATTGATTATGCAAAGTTGACGAATGCTACAGTAACTGGCACCTTGTGTAGTTAATAAGTACATTACCTTATAGCCAAATGCGTATTAGTTTGTCCAATATCACTGCTGGTTACTAAGCAATGTCTACTTGAAATCCGCAGTCCAAGAAATCAGTTGACTGACTTGTTTACAGTTTTGAACCGCATACGGCGAAACGGGTGTGATACAAATTTATAGTGCACCGGACATTTTCGCACGCATGCTCGGCCATACGCAATGCTAGCGATAGTACAGTACCGTAACTGTATATATGTAACAGTAGCTCTGATTGTAATGAACGTGGAATCCACGTACGAATCACGGACGCTCGTGATAATGAAGTAGGCTGTGTTGGGGACCAACACTGTGGGGGGATCGTGGACTAACCACGGCCACAGACTAAACATGGAAAGCAGACGGCACTACACGTATTTACGTATATTGGTCAAACGAATCGACCTGTCTGAAATTGAAGACATGTGGGTACCAGTTCATTAGCGCCCACAGTTATTTACTTGTGCCTCAATACCGAGAATACACCCCGAGATACATTCTACTAGCTCATTAGTCGTTATAAGCATCCCGGGACAAACAATTCTCTGCTCAACACCCGTAGCAACATGTGACGTCACCTAACCGAATTCGAGGCTATTTTGCTTGACAACCAATTTAGCGTTGGCGCCAGATTACCAGATTTGCGGATTTCAATTAGACATATTCTTAGCAGTGATATTGGACAAACTAATAGTAATACGCGTGTTGTAACCAAACTTGGAATCTGCCCAATCTCGAGATTGTGCAACGATTGTGCTGCCCAAACTGCGGATTCCCTAGTTTGGCTGACCAATCTCAAGATTGTGCAAACTGAAAACAGTCGGTGATTCAACAACCGCTCATAGCGAGTTTGTGGTGTGGGTGGTGCAAACTAGGAAGGATTCCTCATTCTCATATTTATCAATTATTTTATTATAATCAGTTTATTATTTATAGCAAAGTGCCAACTCATTTGCGAGTGAAGAAGCTGTTATACGACCTTATAAAGTCTATGATATAACATTTGATCTAATGTACATAATCAGAATGTTTGTGGCAAGTCTGTTTTAGTGTTTACCTTGTTTGCCCAATTCGAAGATGTTGCCCAAACTAGTGAATGCGGCTGTAATTCAAGTTTGTGCAAACTATTCAAGTTATGGGCACACCATACGCGTTTGGCTTAACTTCAAAGGGACAGTAGCCTCTAGGATATTTACTGCTATACAACATGTACTTACTGTATAACAAAATCTCTCTATACCACACGATTATGTTAACCATGATACCATATATTGTAACTGTCTATATTTAATTAACATCAAACTGCGAAATTTGAACGACGCCCTGACACCCGCGACCGTGCTGCCACCGAAAAATCTCCGCTTCG